GGTACCAAAAACAAAAAAACAAAAAAACACACAGCTAATAAATTGTCCACTTGAATATATTGCCTAAGTCATTCTTTTAAAAGTATTTCACAAGCAATGTCCAAAAAGTTCTTAATATGCTTATTTTTTATACCAATCCTTGATTAAAACAATTAAAACGAGGGTGATATTGAAACTGAATTCAGCATAGATATCCCCTTGGCACCAAACACAAAATTTATTAGTGTAAAATCTTTAAAATATATATTTGTTTCCAATCTTCACTGCTCTGTAGATAACCTTATATCTGTCATCATATACTTTTTTTAAAAAGCATACTCCACTTTTAAAATTTGAATCAGTAAATGGTAGTTATCTGCCACTGACTCTTCCTTCTCCTGCTCCTCCTTTTTATTCATTACAGTTTTCACTGATTTGTGCACACCTGGCCATTTGCTCTTCCAGTGTCTTTATTAAACATTACTATTGGTCAAGATAATAAGCGTTAGTAGTGAGACTCTACAGTTGTCAGGTTTATTATTTCTGTCTTTGTTAAATTACTAGATTAACATAAATCTTACAAGTCTCTTAAATTGTTGTTTAAATTTTCATTTTGATTCCTTGCTTGTCCCTGGTTTACTTTAGATATGGCTGTTTTTAACACTTGGTTTATTCTGGAATATGCTGTTATTATGTTTGTTCTCTTCAGTGTTCCTATTTGTTTTAAATCCTCTTCCTTTAAATAATCTATAGCTAATATCAATACCTTGATAAAATATTATCTGCCCATAATTATCTTGAGAAAATATTGTCTTTCCAATATTATAAAATGTCTGCACACATTTTCCCACGCATACATATGATTTTGAGATGCATTTTCCTTATAATTTCCTTGATTTTATTCTTTGCATGCAGTGCTTTTGCAGAGATGAGATTAGTGCTTGAAGAGATTAAAGATGTATCTTTTCATTTAAACCCTAGTTTGAAAATAAAATAAAGCATGCTTGTTATGCAACTCTTGAACCTTCAGGTGCTCTAAAACAGAAGTTTCAAAGTATATTCTTGGGATCCCTTGAGATTCCTTGAGACCCTTTCAGAAGGTCTGTGATCAAAGCTATTTTATCATATTCTGAAGGCATTTCTCCTTACTTGTGACAGTATGGTAGAATTTTCCAGAGTCTGTGTCTGTGATTTTATAATAGAATAAATACAGAAGCAAATATGATAATCTGGCTGTCTAGTATTTAAGGCAGAAATTAATGAAATTTGCACAACTGTGAAACAAAATCACCCTACTCAATAATTTCTTGGCTTAGAAAATAGTTATTTTTACTGCTGTGAGCAATGGTGTACACTCATAGTCCCAGCTTAGGAGGAGGCTGAAGTAGAAGGATCACTTGCGCCCACAAATTCAAGACCAGCCTGAGCAAAATAAGGAGACCTCCATCTTGAAAATGCTGCATATGTTAATAAGTTTATTACCATTTTTAAAATTAATATTGTTTTTTAAAATATCTCAGTTTAAACTACTAATACAGTAAATAGGTATAACACATAAAAGCAAAACCTCTTTGAAGTCAATATTTTTTTAATATAAGGAGTTCCTGAGAACTTGCACCCTAAAATAGTTTTCCTGCTCCTAATGATTGTGTATCTTTGAGGGAAGATAAAAGATCACATTCCACATTTTCCCTCTTCCTAGCTTCCTGATTTAAGATAATGTAAAGTGTAGACATACTATTAGTCAAAGGTGACCAGTGGATCTAGAAAAAAATGAAGTCATGATTCCTGTCACTTTTTCATTCAAGTGCATTTGAATGCATCTCTCCACATATGTATAGATTACATGATGGCCTTAGTAATCCTTCTACACCAAGTAATTTATAGCAAATTATCCCTGCATGTCTTTTTAAAAGCCAGTTCATGACCTTTGTCATTTTGTTGTTTTGGTTTGCTTTTAAATTTGTTCCTCTGGTAATGCATAGCTACAAATTATATTATCTAAAACTAAACTTCTTTTTCCACTCTAGCTCTCCAAATCATTTTTCTTTTTGTTTTTGTTATTTTGTCATTGTTACTGTTGTTGTTCAATTTGCACTTAGAACACAACCATGATTTCAGTTTGAGAAAGGTAGAACAATGTGCAATAAAAATCTTCATATAGTAGTACTGTTAGATCAAAACTTATCAGATCATTTCATTTGCTATTGTGTAGCTGTATTTAGTGTCAGTTTCTTTCCAGAGCAATGGAGCTTCTACATTAGGTAAGAATTGGGGTGGGAGGATCAATATCTGCTATTGCTTCCAAACTGCAATTTTTAGGTATGTTCTAAAGATATGAGATGCTTCTATCTTCCCTTCTGACCCTGCTTACATGAAGATACAATATGGGCTGGGCTAGGTGACCCCTGGTCTGGTAGGTTACTGTTGCCTATTGTTCCTTCTGTTGTGGGACACATTGACAGCTTTTGCAGAGATCTTTCCATGGCAGAACAATTCTCTCACCCTAGTTCCTCTCAGGAGTCAATGGCTCCTCAGCTATCTGTTCTCACTCTGCTTCCTATGAGACTGAGGTGACATCATCTGCCAGGGAATAGTCTCACAAAGACCTTTTCCAAGGAGACTCAAGGCTGATTCCCTTCTGAAGAGTCCATACTGGACCCATAAGAAATATGCATCCTTTTCCAGATATTATTTGAGGGTAAATGAATCTCAGTGAGGCACTCTCCTCCTACTACTATCCTCTAATCTTTCCATTTTTCATGAGTGAGCCAGTTTTCAGCTCCTATTTCCTCAACTCACTAAGTGATTTTGAAACCACACTAAGATCACCACCACTTTACTTGAGTAGAAAGAAAGAACTCCCTTCCTTCTTACTTGAACTAGGGAAAGAGAAAGATTACAGCATACTGTCAACTTTTTCTCTTAATCCCACAGACAAATGTGCAAAGGAAATGAACAGTCAGTCCATTCACAAAAGATAAAAACTAATGAATCAATAACCATTGGAAAAGAAGCTTAATTGTACTAGTTATCAAGAAGAGACAAATTCAATCAAACTTAAAACAATCTTTACTCTCCATTTTATACTGCAGCTCAGCAAAAGATTAAAATATAGACAAAAAATACATAAATACATATACATATATATACACACACACACATTTGGGCAAGTCAAAAATTGATGGAGCTTTTGAGAATAGTGATTTTGGAATATATACTAAAATAAAAAACTCTACATACCTTTTGATTCCACCACCAAACCTGCTTCTAAGTATCTGCCCTATCAAAATACCAGCAGAACTGTGCAAATATGCCTGTGAAAGTAAATTTATTACTGCTGTGTTAGTTTTACTGTTGCTGGACAAAATACCCAACAACCACAGTTTAAAGGAAGAGAGGTTTATTTGGCACATGGTGTCAGAGAATTCAGTCCATGGTTGGCTGGCTCCAGAGAAGAAATCCCATGGTGGAAGGGAGTGATAGAGCAGAGCTCCTTCGTTCATGGTGGTTAAGAAGCAGAGAAGGAAACGACACCAGAGAAGAAAGGGGCAGAGACCAGATACAGAAATTAAAGTCATACCTCTTTGACTCACTCAGACACACCCAGAAATGTGCTTTACTCATCTCCTAGGCAGCTTCCAAGCCAATCAAGTGGACTGTTAAGCTGAAGCATCACAACTGAATAACACAATTTAATTCCAATCAACTTGAATGACCATCAAAACATATAAACAAATGTATGGTGCATCCAACACAAGAGATGCAAGAGTTAAATAAAATAATATGAAGAGTAGAAAATGTTTCAGGCATACTAAGTGAGAAAAGTGGGCCGGGGATTTAGCTCAGTGGTTCCGCTGCCTGCCTTGAAAGCACAAGGACCCAAGTTCGACCCCAGTGCCAAAAAAAAAAAAGAAAAAACACAACCTAAGTGAAAAAAGCTGTGTAAAAATTCCTATTAATCACACATTTCAATAAGAAAATTGAGAAAATCAAAGACATCTCTTTGTATGCATATATTCATACTTGTAAATGTATAAAAATTCAAACCAGCTTTTTGGAAAAAGAATTAAACCAATGAATTATTTTTGAAGAAGGAACTATAACTGAGGAATAGAGATCAGCTAGGATTTCAGCATTTACAATGAGTAAATATTAAATATGTGACTATTCGGAATTCTACAAAATAATGAAAATAAAATGAGTGGAGCTGCTAGAAATGATCTTTAATACTTACCTGAATGATAACTTTCAATTTCTATATTGGCACTTGGATTTACTAATTCTCAAGAGTCTGAGAGCATTCATCATCATCAAACTATTTATTAAAGATTGTTTTATATACTGGAAATACATCTACATGTTTATTCAAACAATAATTATAAATTTTTGCTATGGTAGTAAGTTTCTAAAATTACTCATTTATGCTTTTCAGATACAGGGCTGGGGATTTAGCTCAGTGGTTCCACTGCCTACCTCGAAAGCCCAAAGTCCCGAGTTCGATTTCCAGCACCAAAAAAAAAAAAAAAAACCAAACAAACATATAACCTACACACATTTCAATACATAGCACTTTGGCTACTTTATTATAATAATAATAATTAACCAATTCTGGCTGATATGATAATATGCCTAATAAGAATGTTATAGTATTCTCTGAGGAGCAAATATTTCATTCTGGGAATTAATTCTAAATAATTTAAATTGCATTTCATGTTTGGTTAACTAATAATTATTCTGTGTGTGTGTGTGTGTGTGTGTGTGTGTTGTGCTGGGGACTGAATACAGGGCCTCATGTATATTAAGCAAGTGGTCTATCACTATGCTACAACCCTAGCAGTCAAGAGTTACTCAATAATGTATATAGTGTACAACATGCTTTCCTTTGTGATATTTATTTTTAAATCATAATGTGTGCATTGTTGAATCACATAAGATTTTGACAGTTCTTAAAAGATTAAGTATAGATGCTGAAACCATAAACAGAATTATACAAATGTTCCTTATTTCTCCATATGCAGTACTTACATGAAAATGGGATCGTCCATCGTGATCTCAAACCCGAGAATCTTCTGTATGCGACCCCGGCCCCAGATGCACCACTTAAAATCGGTAAGAACATTTTCTGATGTTTCAGGACATGTTTTCCCAGAGCAGAAGAAATGCATTCTGTGACATTTTTTAATATTTCTCTGTCCTTTATCGCCTCCATCCAACTTCCTCTACTATTTGATATTTTGGAGGAATAATGCTTTATTTTGGAAGTCTGCGCTCTTTCTTGGAATGTGAATCTGGAAATGAGCACTAGACATTGCTGGACACACATGAGAATCGCAGCTCTTAACAGGTGTGAGAACCTCAGGACATGGCCTTGTGTTTTGTAGATAGATTTATAGTGAAAAAATAGAAAACTGAACGTTTCTTTTTGGTTATTGACTTGTTCCACAAATTATTTGGAATTTAATTAGGTGATCAAGAATTTTGGCCTAAAATTCTTAGTACATATTAGTGAAACTGGACCCTGAATCAGTTGTTTACATAAACAGAAAAATTAAGGCCTGTTCTTCCCAAAATGTACCCCACAGGACCTAGGCACTTCAGTAGGATGAAGAGTGCCCTTTGGCCCCGGGGGTGGTGGGGGGCTGTTGAGTGATTTGCAGAGATGCCAAGGTTGGTCACACACTTTAGGAAATTCCAATTTATACAAGATTTTAATTTGTTCAGCCCTTTCCCAGAACCTTAAAAAATATTAACATGCAGACAGACATATAGTGTACCATAAGGCTTTTCTCAAAATTTATTTAACCTCCCCAAACATTTTGAAGAACTGCAAAAATAAACTTGGAGAAATTCTGATCTATCCAAAGAAATCGTTAAATCAACATTTTAGGAAAAAAAACACATTAGATGTTATTTTCCATATAAACTCCAAAACAAATCTTTATTTCCAAAAAAAGTTTTTAAAAAATTTAGTTGCATTCTCTTTGGTTAAAGACCCTGTATTAAATCCTCTGAAGAACTTCGCATTTCTGGTGCTGTCCCAGTGGACTAAGTTGATGTGTTCACTGCATTTACAAGTGTTAACACCTTTGAAAATTAAGTTGTTCTCTCACAGAAGAGCTCAGGCAACAGAATGTGCTTCATGAATGCAAAAAAAACTCTGAAACTAAAAAAAAAAAAAAAAAAAACCAAATTACTAGAGGTATTCAAAATCAGATTTGAGTACGCAGAAAGGTCAGAAAATTTTTAGGTAAGAAAAAAAAAAATCCCTGGAACTAAAATCCCTGGAACTAAAATCCCTGGAACTCCTGCTGGGCACCCAGTTTGTTCTCATAATCACTCCTGAAAGGCAGTGGACAGCAGGGAGTTTGCATTTCCTTTGACATCACTTTCAAAGATTTAATCCTTAAAGAAATTTCTTTAAATGGATGGATAGATACTAATTTAGGCAGGAGAAACTTTCTTTCTGAAGAGCTCCCTGCTGCTTTCACTGAGAAGGATCAGGCACCTCCGCGGAAATGTGGGTTTATCTTTGAAGTCTAAAATGGCATCCGTGCTGCACCTGCCTCTCTTGAAGAATGGCCTTGAGCAGTTTCCTGATGTTTCCTCAGAGAGATGTAGTCCAGCAAATAGATAATAATGTAGCAACTTTGATAATATCTTACCCAGCTAATTCTCTGAGGAATAAATAAAAAGATTTTTGTCCCAAATGGTCTTATACTCTCTTATGAGAGTACATTCTTAACTGTCAAATGCAGTAGGGATTGATGCTATTTATTTTCAATCACAATAAGCCTTTTGATATTTCTTTTTATTTCTATGACATTTATAAATGTCTAATTTTTTATCTTCAACAATAGATTAAAGGTTCTGAATTATAGCCAAGTCTATATTGTCCCTTAGGATTACTGTCATGTAAATCTCAGAATTAATAACATTATGACAAAACATAACTATTACAATGGTTATGTTAAGAAAAAATAGCTTATTTTCCAAGAACTGGAGATTACAGAGAAGAGCAAAGATTAAATATAAATTTATTTTTGAATGTGTTCAGGAATCATATTTTTCTCCACATTAAAAACTTGAATAATTTTTTTAGCGCCCTCTTTCAGGTAGCTTGTCCCCAACCACATTCACCTCACAATCAAATACAAAAGCAAGCAAACATATACATAAATTAAGTTCATCTTCAGAGAACTGAAGTGTATGTAACAGCTGTGAAGAGATTTGCTTCATTCAATTTTTTTTTTCTTGTCTTGATAGCTGATTTTGGACTCTCTAAAATTGTGGAACACCAAGTACTCATGAAGACAGTGTGTGGAACCCCAGGGTACTGCGGTATGCTCTTTAATACAGATATTTTACCTTCATGGAAATCTATTCTTAATGACTTCTTATTTTTAATTCCTCATGTCTCTATTTATAAACACTTAAATTTGCTGTGCATCTCCATACTAAGTCATACAGAAATGATAGATCACCTCCTGTTGTTCCTGAGGGGTTCCACGATGTTAGTTATGGGATACCTCTGTTAAAATGTCATCTGGGCAGGAGTTACTCTTGGACCCACTCAGGAGAAAGAAGATAATCAGTAGGAAAAACTCCATGTAAGGATTTTGTAATTTAATTTTGATAAGTTAGTTTCCCTGGTAAATTTAAAATACTATTTCCTTGCAACTCATTAAGTATGTCAGTCCACTCAGCCTGCAATAACAGAACCCCTTAGACTGGGAACTTATAAACAACAAAAAATTGTTGCTCACAGATCTGAATGCTGAGAAGTCTAGGATTTAGGCATTGGCAAGTTTAGTGTCTGGCAGGAGTTGACTTTCTGGTTCCTAGATGGTGCCTTCTAGTTGTGTCCTCATGTTGTAGAAGAGTTAATGGTTCCTCTTGGTCCTCTTTCATGAGGGGCTCCACCTTTGTAACTTACTCCCCTCCCCAGAGCCCTACCTCCCAAAGCCATCAACTTAGGAGAGATTAAGATTTCATAATATGAACTTTGGCTGACGAAGACATACATGCTTAGCATTAAGAATGGGATTAGGAGGCTGAGGGTGTAGCTCAATCAATGGTAGAGTACTCCACCTAGAAGTGCAAGGCCCTAGGTTCAGTGCCCAGTACCTCAAAAAAATGATATTGTGTTATACAACTCATTACTTCTATCATAAACTTATGAAGCAAGTTTCCCAAACAGGAGAAAATACGAAAACCTTTGGACTGTATCATGCCGGATATAGGCGTCATCTTGTTTGGTTTTGATGTCTTTTTTTTTTTTCACCTTAAACAATTCTCTTGACAATCTCTCTTTGGACCTTCACTCCTACTGGTGCCATATGTACTTTCCCTGTCCCCAGTTCATATCACTTTATTTGTCCTCCTGCTACATTTCTTTCATGCTCCAGCTCTCCAAGACTGGGCTTGGGAGAAGCTAAATTTACTATCATGTGCCAAACAAGATTGCCCATTTATCATCACTAATTGCTAACCAACTGGTAGAATTGAAAGAGAATTGAAAAAAAGAATGATAAAACAAATTAAGGATTCCTCACAAGAAGAAAGCTGATGGACAACTTAATAATAATTATCTAATGCCAAACACTAAGTTTTCCCAGCAGGTGGGTAGTTTGCACAGTTTCCTGAGAACTGAGCAGCCTTGGATTAGGGAGGATCAGAAAGAGAGTAAACCAGTGATCTCTAAGGAGTCCCTTTTGTAACTACCAGCAAGCAGTATCCTTCCAAGGTCTGTAATTATAGTGAAGACAGCAGTTTCTTACAGCAATTCAGAGTGGTCATTTTATGAAAGAATGATACATTCATTGATAAAATAAACACTGAATGACTAATAGACTCCACTAAGGTTACAAGGATAAATACAATATGGTCTTGTTCTTCAGTGATTTCATGGACTACAAAAGAAGAAAAGCTTCTACATAATAATTGGAAGTTTATTTTGTGAAAAGTCCTACATTTATCTGAGTCAAATGCTCAAGGATACAGAAGGAAGGGAATTGTTAGTCCTGGCTGGAAGTATCGACAGAGGAGGGAATTAGAGCTGGACATGGATGGATGGATAGAAGTTAAACGGGGAAGGGTGGTTATGGGCATTCTTTGTCTGTGGACACAGGGAGAGCAAAGTCATGGAGGAGTGGCAGCATCTGATAGTTTCAGGGGCTGTTTGTCTCTTTGCCACTTTGTACAACTGGAACTTAGTCCTTGGTGCAGAGGTGCAGCTTTATAAAGCTAGGATGGAGCACATATTTAAGGAATCTGTACATCAGGCTAAGGAGTTCAGATGATTTGGTGTAATGGTGACACAACAAAGATTTATCTTCAGGATGGTACTTTGAAATCAAGTTTGTATGTTGTAAATATCTAGATTATGACACAGTATGACAGATGGATTTGAGGGAGAAAGAGATGGCAAGAAAACAGATAAATTAGAAAGCTATTGTAAATTTCCTTTCCAACCTTTCTAAGTCAAAAATCAACACACATGCTGCTGTCCCTTCTTAAATAGATTCTCAGTGGGGATAGCATTTTTGACCTATTCATAAATCCAAGCACTTTTAGATGTAAAATGATTGTAAAATGCTATTTTCATCCCTTGTCCTTAACATAGACAGACTCATTTCATAGACAGTGCTATTTTATAATGGAGGCCTATTTCTTGTTTATTTATTTTTTTGTCCTGCGAATATGCATATCACCTTAGAGGCCATGTAATAGGGCAAGAGGTAGCTGAGTGTTGAGAATGATCAAGATAACCTTTCCACTCTCTTGTAAGTAACAGTTTACCAGGAAGGAATAATTTGCTGCAATGTAAGAAAAGGTGAAAGTGGCAAAAAAAAAAAAAAAAAATTCTCTAGTAGGATAGAATATGCCTACCTCAGAGGACTATTTTGGGGCTAGAGAGGAAAAATGTAAATGCTTTATGGACTCAAAAGGGCTAGATATATATGGTGTTACTATTTTGTACGTTGGAGCAGTCTAGGAAGTAAAAAAATGAGTAAAGTTTAAATGTTTATACACTAGAATAAGGTTAAACTTGTATATGAATAAATATATATTTAATTGTACATGTTCTTGACCCAAAGGAACTATTCTGAGATACTACCTCAAAGTGAGAGTCTAGAGAGTGTAGGATTTTAGGGGTATTCTCTGTAAAGTAACACAAAAAACACTGGAAAACCTGATCCAGGGAAAAAACAGGTCACACTTATGCCAGGGAACAGGAAGCAGATGACCCAGACCGAAGGCAAGATCCAGTGTGTTCAACTAAATAAACATTTTAATATAAAAATGAGTGTTTATATTAACTTGTTCTATAATAATCAGCCCACTTACAGGTAAAGCTAAAACAATTTGAGAATCGCTCTTAATTCTAGCCCTTTCTGTCCTCACCACATATAAGTAATATCATCAGTTTGGCATGTGTCCTTGAATAAGTAGATGGAGAGAAAACTACCCCTTTATAGAGAGAGTTGGAAATGAGACCCAAGTGCAAGACTAGTGAGAATCATTATCATGCTATAGAAAGCCCAACTTTACACAGAATCTGTTTGTAATGAGTATAATACAATTCGTCAGGTATGGACACCAGAGGAGAGGGAGAAAAAGCTCAGGGGAAAAAAAAGAAAATTTGTTATACTTGAGGTCCTAGGAACAGAAGCATGGCGTGCCACACAGGGCCATGTAGGAAAGGCACCAGTGTGGTCAGGAGGCTGTGGACAGGAGTAGCAGCAAGGGAAGGTTTAGGCCAAGGCGTTTATTGGCTTTCCAGGGAAAAGCAAGTTAGAGCAGCATGAGCAGTTTCGGAATGGCTCCTTTGATAACTGGTGAGCTCTAAGCTATAGGGTTGCCCCTAGTGGCTACTACCTGTGCCTGGAATAATTAAAGCATAAGCATTTTGCTTCCTTAGATATAAAGGCCAGATAGAGAAGGGTTTGCATCAGTTATTTGTATATCAAAGTATGCATGTGGAGGGGAGGGTCTTTAAGAATTAACTAGCCCCAGTCTCTCTGCAGCCAGAAAGTTTGTTTTATGAAGGGAGGGGAAGGGGAAAGGAAAAGAGGGAAAGGAAAAACTATGAGAAAAGAAAAAAAAATGGAAATGAAATCTATGTAAATAGGGAAGGGCGGAGGGGGTGAAGGGCGCACAGGTAATGGGGAAAAAAATAAGAACCAAGATACATCGTGTACAGGTACAAGCACCCAGTGATAAATGTAAATGAATTGTATACCTAAAATGGACCAACATAAGAACAAAAAAAAAAAGTTTGTTTTAAATAATGTCAAAAACATCAAAATATATAGAAAATTTTGAATATTTATAATACAGAGACTTTACGTCAATTTGGAAAGGTGTCTGAGACCCTTACTTGACAGACAGAAGAAGTGTGAGCTTTTCTGGTTGCTTGTTAATAGGGCAATCACAGTCGAGGTCAAGTATTCTTTCATACATGTGTCCAGTTTCTGCTTTTCATGGAAGGCTCTTCAAATTGCATCTTTTGAGTGAGTGAGTGTTTATGTTATATCACCTGTCATTTCTCAGGAAATAAGAAAAGGAAATCCTACCTATTTGGTCACTTTCATAGAACCTTTGCCTCAGGCCACTAACAAGAAAGGGCTCACTTATAAATGAGTCACAAAAGAAAAATCACAGATGCTTCATGTTTAGGCAAATACGCATTATTTTTTTTTAGGAAAAGTGAACAGTCAAAACCAAAACCCTGGCCAGAAAATTAAAATTTGTGACCCAGGTAAATGAAGTCAATGACCAGTGTTCTATAGTAGTCCATGAAGAGTTCAGCATGGGACAGATTTTCAACATCTTATCACTGGAAAAAGCCATAGGTATGGAAAAACAAAGCAACAAAACAAAACAAAAAGAATATCCACTGGGCCATGGCTTCTAATGAATGTGCTACAATGTAACTATGAGTATTAACTCCCATTCCAGACACAGAAGAAAAACCCACATGCAAAGGAGTTAGGTAAAAGAATATTCCTAATATCCATGATGTAATTTATTCACAAGCATAATTAAACTATGTATGTTCACATTTCGTATTTGTACTTCGCTATTTATTCACATTCTATTTTCAGAGCCCAGAAGCTGTTAAGAATTTTCTTTCAACAAATAGTGATGAATCAGAAAACTGAATGTCACTAACCCCATGTTCAGTTGTAAGATGACATATGCATTTCTCATCCACGATAAGGGATATCAGGAATCTTTCATTATCTGCCTTTACCACACAGTGGGAGGATGGCCAGAAGCATGGGCTGGCCATATTTTGGTTGTATTACTTATTGCTCACAGGCGTAGACTGCTGT